TTCATCTAATGTTCAATATTATCGAGGGCAAAAATTATTAGCGCGGAATGTAGATCTAAACTCTATGTCCTCCTTACTTATGATCCAGATTTTTCTATTCTGGGAATTAATGGATTTTCTCAGCGCGGGAAGATTTTATTAATAGTTTGTGCTATTTGCATTGCGGACATGGAAAATTCCTCCGTGTGAGCGCTAGTGCCCAATTTTCAGAGTTTTACTTTAAAACTCGAGGAAGTTGAGTAACGCATCTGTTCAAACTCCTAGTTGACTTCATTAACTAACTTAACCAAGTCAACTATTGTAGTGGGGGATCCGGCGACATGTTGGAATTGGTCGTTTTTCGCATGGCCGTTCAGTTTGTTTGATTTGTTTTAGGAAGAGGAAGTTATTCACTTGGGCAGGGCACAAGAAGCCATTGCCCTTTAGCAGCACCTGGGACGACGACTACTCTTTGGAGAAATATTTTTCGAAGGTAAGACAGGATCCTGAACGTGCGGATATTCGGTGTCGTAATGATTGGAACCCGCTGGTGGCCAGACGAGACGCAGCTCTGCTGGAGATCTTGGACAATGGTGGACTAAGAGCTGGCGACCAATCGTACGTTCTTGCTTGCACCCGTATCTCCGCAAGACACAGTGTAGAACATGGGAAGCTGAAAGGTGGCGCGGAGCCCTACTCGTGGTACTTAGGTTTGGATATACTGGCCAGGGAGGATGGTCCAGCTGGGTGGAAGGTTGATCTCACGCCACTGAAGATTTTCCGAGGTCTGCGGGTATACATTTCGACGGGTATTCCTCCATGGCTTGTTGGTACATAGTGTGATCACACAGACAGCCAGGGTGCTGAAAATCCATAGCCGACCTCTACCAAGTAATCACCAGCGATATTGAGACTGTACGTCGAAGAGATGGTACCCAGTAGCATCAATTGCTGTCAGGTCCAGCAAGTAGTGGCATTTCATAGTAACTTGCCATGCATGCCTCCGAACTGGTCCATAAGTGATCGGGATCTCCAAAGTTAGAGCGCACACTACCTGCCTTACGCTAGAGTGATGCAGGGCCTCGGCGAATCAAGGGTGCCCACTGTGGGGGATGCGACTTGGAGACTACCATAACGCTCCGGGCTCCGGTGTCGGCGGAACCGTAGCGGCCTCAGGCCCGCCACGGTATGTGCGTGGGCGGCTAGTTTACACCATTTCTCTCTATCTGTTGCTGCCTAAGCAAGACAGCAAACCCCCGCATAGCATCTGTACACGAAGGAAGCTAGATCGGGTCTATGAATATTGATTGATTGAGTAGGCACGAGAAATGCTTCTCAGAATCGACAGGTGATCAATCATGCTAAATTTACGACATTAACCAGCTACGATTATTTCGGAAGGAAGTTGCCTATTATTTGAGCACTTTTTGAGCACTTGGGAACAATTTTCGGTTCCGCTTTTCATGGCCTACTTCGTTTGATAGCTCTTATTTACGTATATTATTTTGCTCGCCCCAGTAATGAAAGTAATGAAAGCTGAAACTCTATAATATACCCTAGGATAGATGTAAGAAATAAATCTCGAAATTGACCAGTGATAAACGATGCTAGGTTGATCGCTTTAATTGACTGTCGCATTCTTAGAAGGAACGTGTCGAATTCCATACCTTTTGCTCAGCTTTTGCTCAATTTTTCGTTCTTTACGTTTTCCGAATCATTTGCCCACCTTTTGAACACATTTTGCGCAAAAGTTGCTCACTTCGGTTTTGCCCACATTTAATTCACTTTGCCCTGCTTTACTTATCTTTTCCTCAAGTTTTGCTCAACCTTGCTTAACCTGCGTACCTGTACCATACCATAGTACTGCGTTTTGCCCTTTTTGTTTGGTTAGTCTGTTAAGCCTACGTTATTTTCGCCCCTCCTAATGCACCCATCCGCTAACCACAACAAATTAATTCATCTTAATTTACACATTCCCTATTACATGCTCCCCATTTCCCAAAATCTCGTATTTTCCCAGTTAAACACACCCATAGTGAGCGAGCCTATCCTATAGGATGACCTGAAGCGCCGGAGTCGTGGGAATGATTACTCCATTACTGGATGGGACGTTAGCGCGACGCGTGAAATGGCCGCCTTCCCACGCTTACCAATTAGTGTATATAATAATACAGTATCTTATAGGGCTTGTGGCCTGTGAAGGCGCAAGACTTTTGAAATGGTCCTCCGTATGCAGGTATTTCAGTCTGCTCCTTTCAGCCAATCACGCAACTAGACTCGGCTCGTCCTCACGTGAGGTGAACACTGCAGGCGGTCAAATGGGATGGAACAATTTATATAAATTTCTTATATTGTAATAGTATCAACAAGTCCCTAACCACTTTCCCAAGCTATCGCTCTTCAATCCATCGCTGTGTTCTGTCTATATTCTTGATCCTTACGTACAGTGATCCTCGAGATTGGCTTGACCTATGCACACTTAATAGAGTTTTCTCGGCCCTACCGCTAATGCCTCGGCGAAGATCATTTATTGAGCAACCAACATCAAATCGAGGGGCGCAACAAACGGCGCTTTGTGTCATGTACCATAACATCTAAGCAACCTAGGTGATTTTTGTATCTAGAGGTAGATTTAACGAAGTCCGGGGAGCGGATATAAAGAGGCCACGCTTCCAGGGCCAGGGCCACCAGAAAGGGCACTGTCTCATTGAGCTACCACCATCCTGCGAGATACTCGTATATGCTTACCTAAATTCCCTAGGAGTAGTCAAAAATACCGCCAATATTGAAAGGAAGTAGTGGAAATATTACTTCAATGGACCCATGAGTGTTAGTCGAGTTCTACAGCATGCGAGGGTATATTAGATGGAGCTCCGTGTCCTGTGGGAGCGAGGAACACGAGCAAGGAAAACTGCGCATAGCCACTAGCGCCTTTGGAACTAGCTATATTGCATTATTGTTTCACTTCTTACGCCTACAGAAATGTGTTAACATACATTTCTTTTGTGAGGATTGCGTTCATATGAAGGAATTAAAGGAGATCGAAATAAGCCGTGTCGAAGTCGAAACTAAGGAACATGAAGAGGGAAAGGTGCGGACGAGACAGGAATGGTTTGTTTGGATATCAAGTGCACAGTATAAGCAGCTGAAGAACGACTTTCGCCCCGGTGGTAGGATTTGTCTTTTGTTTCCACTGAAACCTTGTCATAGGCACCAGGGTGGCCATACCCGGCTCCTGGTAACTGCACTTCCCATCACCAGCGATTCTGTGAAGACGAAACTGTACGGCTATGTGGAGGGCATGACTTGGACTCACATACGTTCCTGATTAGAACGAACTGGCAGTTCTCTGAAGATAGCCAAAGAAGGCAGCTCTCATTTCTCACAGATCGAGTCTAGCGCATCCTCGATATTGTCTATATTTGGAGGAGGTTGGAGATAATAACTATGTGCAGCTAAGATAGGGCTTAAGTGAATGTGTATTCACCATAAAATCGCAGTCAAAGTCTTTGAAAGATGAGGATTTCTGTTATGACAATCTTACAGTAGCAGACATGAAGAGAGAGACAACACAAACCAACACTCGTTCGAGGAGCATGGTCCTTCTAATCGCTCATTACGCCCTATGAATGGATATTTTTCGCATTTTCTTCTCGAGTACCCTACAATTTACTTCTGTTTGAAGTTACCCGTATGGCGAGGTCGTGATAAAACCGAACTTTCTAATCACTTTGTACTGCTCGAGATAGTCTGGGCCAATATGCTATTTGAAGAAGCCATCAAAAGTAAAAAACCAGGAGAGTACAAAGAAAACGCGAGAATAGTAGATGGCGTAACTCCCAATAGATTTCGCTGAAATAATTATGATATTTCGCAGGTAGTGGAGAGGTTATTTTACTTCACATTCCGCACCATACTGTATGCTTCACAGCATGTATATGAAGCGAGCTACATCGGGCGAATGAATTGATGTTATTAACACTAATAATTTGGAATAAATCATTCCGTGTTTTCGGGTTTCCAGGTCGGTCATCGTACAGGATAGGCTCGCTCGCTATAAGTGTTTAATTTCGAAATTCTGGAATTTTGGGGAATGGGGAGCATGCAGTATGGAATGTGTAAACTGGCATACTAATAAGATGAATTAAATGTTGTGGTTTGCGAATGGGTCCATTTAGAGGGGCAAAATAATGTAGGCTGAACGAATTAATCGAAAATAGAGGGCAAAACGCAGCATGGAACAGGTACGCAGGTTAAGCAAGGTTGAGAAAAACTTGGGGAAAAGATAAGTAAAGCAGAGGCAAAGATTGAGTTAAAAGTGGGCAAAACCGAAGTAAGCAAATGTTGCGCAAAATCTGTTCGAAAGATGGGCAAATGGTTCGGGAAACGTAAAGAATCAAAAATTGAGCAAGAGGTGCAAAAGTTGGGCAAAAGTCGAGGAAAAGTCGAGGAAAATGTGGGCAATTCGACACGTTCCTTTCAAGAATGCGACACCGACTTCAGGCGATCAACCTGGCATGGCTTATTACTGGTCAATTTCAAGAGTCATTTCTTAAATCTATCTTAGGTTTGTGTTGGTATCACCAGCTAGGTACTGTGTACACAGTTAAGTGGACAGTTTATGCTAAAGCAAAAGTTGATTGATTCGTGTATGATAGATGTGTATCCCAGGTCAAGGTCCAATACCCCTGAATCCATATGGCGGGAGCCGCAGCTTAGCAGGATTACGTACAACATGTCTTTGCTTATTCCAACGGGAGGATATATCCCGACACTGGCAACTTTTCTTTTGTGCAAAGGCCAGTGCCCTCAAGTAAGAAATGAAGGATCAAAACGAACGAACACAAGAGAACGATCAAAAACAAACGATCAAAAGAAACGATCAAAAGAAACGATCAAAAGAAACGATCAAAAGAAACGATCAAAAGAAACGATCAAAAGAAACGATCAAAAGAAACGATCAAAAGAAAACAATCAATCGTACTGTGCCTCGTTGCCCACGTAGATCTCGCTATACCATTCTATTTTCTCTCCACCCATCCCTCAACTCGCACTCGCAAGTTATTGGTGTTGACGAACTTCTCCAAGGCCTTGTTGGGGTCTGCTTTGGTCATTGCATCTGCAGGGTTGTCGCTCCCGTTGATCCACCTTATCTCCATTATCTCTCTTCGCTCGTATGACTGGCGAAGTGCCATGATGTCGATCATGAGGCGCTTTTCCTTGGTGGTTCCGAGCTTGACGAGACATTCGTAAAGAGAGTATGAGTCCGTGCATACGATGGTAGGGATCTTCCCAAAGCCGAGTTGGTCCATGATCATCTTGACTGTTGTGCCGATTGCAATTGCCATGTCGACACCTCCTACCATCCCATAGATCTCCGATGCTAGGACGCTTCTGGTGACTCGTTTGCTCTTGGTTGAGCTCCAATGGATCAGGTTTCCGGTGATCTCAAATTCCTCATCCTGTGTGGACTCGTTTGCGAGAATAATCTCATATCCAATCTGGGAGCTGAAATCTTTGTTGTTCGCGAATGAGCCATCGACAAATACGAAGAGCTTTGCAGTTGAGAGATCTATCGCGATGTATTTGATGCCCCTGTCCAGGTTCTTCATTTGCCACTTGATGCGTTTGTTCAACGCGTTGACGTCGGCTTCCGTAGGATTCTGGTGTTGGGCGGCAACGGATAGGTCGAATGCAGCTTCCGGCTGGCAGATCGTCGCAATGTAAGCTCCGCGAGCACGTTGTTCCATGTATCCTTGCTTGAGGTCCTTGGATTGGTGGTCGATGAGCTTGAGCTTCTTACCCTGCTCCTTCTGGCGTAATTCAACGGCAACGTCTCCTTCCTTCTGTGTCAGGACACAGCCATTGAATATCAGCGGGTTCTCTGGAGATAGTGTATCCTTAGGTTTAGCGCTGAACTTTGCTTCTGCCAATTCCTTCTCCTCGAGCTTGGCGAACTCGTCGGACCCCAAAATCAGAGTGTCATCGGTTTGCATTCCGACAACACCGAAAGCTTCATTTGCTGTCGAGATCAACAGGCATGGGTCGTAAGTAGATGTGACCATCTTGAGCTTTTCCCGGTGGTGCTTGTGGTACGTCGCCCACCAATGGGTTCCGGCTTCAGGGATCCCGTATAACGGCTTCCGCACTACCATGATCGTGCCGGCTGGGAACTTGGTCTTGATCTCCTTGGGTAGCTGCGCCAGAATCAGTCGGTTCAATGAGGTTGTTGACTGGACATATGCCTGCGTAATGTCCCGGATCGATAGGCTGATGTTCTTTTCGCTCAGTGACGGGGCCAGTGCGACGATGACCCGTTGGCTGGCTCGTTGGATCGTCGGGGATTGGGTAAGAATCATCCCTTTCCTTTCGTCATTGTAGGCCTGGATAACGAGTCGTGACTTCTCGAAAGGCGTACCCGTGGCTTTGCCCTTGATTTCATTGACCAAACGGGAATTGAAGATGCGTATACCAGCGTGCTTGACTGGGTCGTATCGTACGAAGTCGAACACGCCTCTGGCTATTAGCCCTTCGATCTCCTCGTTCCGAGATTGATCAAATGGCAATCCAGGGGTCGTGATGACACCGTCATTCCTCAACTTAATGGACAGTTCCATATCTGCTCGTTCTTTGTTCGTCATGAGTGCCATTGTAACGTCTTGTCCTTCCCAGATAGCATTGATGAATTGATCCTCGAGGTCTTGATGATGAGTAGGGTTTCGTCGGGTGCTCCGCCGCATGGTTGTCTGCGGCTTCGGTTTATTTTTCGATCCTAGTGGTCGTCCTCGACCTCGTCGTTGGATTTCGACTGGTTTATCGGGCTCGTGGACTTGTTCCGAATCGACAGTCCTATCCACTTGGTCGTCCTCTGCCCTGATCCGACGTTGCCCTCCCTCTTCCTCTTGGAGTTCTTCTCTGTGGTAGGGCTTGACAACAGTTGATCGGAATTTCGTAGGACCATATGGCATATCCACGGTGCAAATTTCTCCATTCATCGCTAAGAGCTTGTATGGGCCCTTCCATCCGCCTTTCTCGCGCCAGACTCGAACATCTGACTGCAAAGGTAGGTCCAACGTGGTGGTAATATTCGGGCCGTTGCGCATAGCAAGCGCGTCATTCACCTGGCGCTCCGCATGCAGGCGCCGGACCTCTTTGGTTGCAGCACGGATAGCCTCAGCTCTCTTGACTACCGAAGGTGATGGTGGGTCCATTTCGGTCATTCTCGGGTATGCCCCGAAGACAAGCAACGTTGGGACAATTCCATCTGGTCCGGCTGAGTCGTTAACAGCTTTCACGGCCATCTGCAGGATCATCTCCCTGTCAATGTTCTCGTCCTTGAGCTCTTCCCTGAGAATTTCGTAGGCACGGCGCAGTGGTGCATGGTATCGTTCCACTTTCCCGACGCTATTATGGGCTTCCACGGGGACCTCCTTCACCTTGATCGACATCGACGATGCAAGCTGCTTGAACTCGGTAGATGTGAAGTTCTTCCCCGCATCGTGCACAACGTAGTCCGGGGGTCCCTGGTAGGTATCGATCCAGCATGCACGAAGTGTGTCCCAGGCATTACGTGCCGACATGTCTCTCAGGAATCTCGCAGCACCAAATGACGTGGCTGCATCGATGACCTGCAAAACAGGTTTTCCTTCCAGGTACAGGATGTCGACGATGACCGAGTAGTTGAACTCATAGTCATCTTTCAAAGTGAATTTGAATCGTCCTGGAGATCTACCTTTCATCTGGCAATGGTGGCAGAATTTCGTGAGGTAGTCGATGCACTGCGAATTCACCTCGTGCCCGGCGCGTTGTAGGATTCGGGTCAATCTATGTACTGACGGGTGTCCGAAACGCCGGTGAAGTTGTCGTAGCTCTGATTCGGTAAGGTGGCTCCATGCTGCTGCCTCCTCCAGATTGTGCAGCAACATCCATGGGTGTCCCCATTTACGTACAATAGGTACTCTCTTGTCTCCTCGCTCGAGCACATTCTTCTTATTTCGTAACTCCACTCCCATAGCGTCCATGTCCTTGAGGCAGAAGAGAAATGGTGTGTTCGTGGGAAGGATGTGAAAGGTAATAGAGCCAATTGGGGTATCGACATCGGCAGTGCCTAAGGAGACTTTTGGGTCTCCGTCTCCAAATTTGATCTTATGTTCCCCAGCCCGGGAGGTATTGAGTCTGACTTTGGGGTCTAACTTGCACAATGCCTTGAATTGAGGTTCACCCGCAGATGAAACTCCAGAGGCTCCAGTATCTGGCATAATGCCTTGGAAGGTGTCAGCTGAATACCGGTTGTCGAGTGTGAACACTTCAATGGCCTGTCCGTTGGCTTGTCGCTGCTGGAAAATGTCGTCTTTAGTGAGAAAGTGGTACGCTGACTGGTCGTTTAGGATGGATATCATTCTAATCCCGTCGACTTCTCCGAGCTCTGTGAAGAACCCCTCGTGCCCGTCATCCTCGATAGTCATGTCTGCGAGCATCGGGGTTGATCCATGCCTGTCGCTGCTGTCCAGCACTTCTGTCTTTTCGTCTCCTTCAAAATCACTAAGGAACATCTGGAAATCCTGTGGGGTGGCCGCTTGGCCTGTGGTGAAGTAGTGTTGCTGGCGGAAGTTATCGAGTGATTGTCTTCGTTCCTCCCCGGTATGATACTTCGACCAGCACCCTGGTCGTCCACAGACATAGCATCTCCCTTGGCGGGACCCTTGATGGCCCCGTCGACTCCCACGGTAGCTTCCTCGCGGTGCTGATCCACGAAAGGGAGTGAGTTCACGGTTGTTACCGTAAGCGTAGCTTCCTCTGTGCTGGCTATAACTTCCGCGGCCACGGCCTCTCCCTCCGTATGTGCGGTCAGTCCAATGCTGATCGTGCACGTCGTACTCCTCATGAGCTTGAAATTGCCCCGACCGTGGTGAAAAAGTCGCATTGGCAACTGCTGATCGTAGTTCCGCTTGCACCCCCTCCAGAGTGCTCGCCGGCCTGTGTAAGGAGAATTTGCATTCCTCAACACCTCTACAGGCATTTATTGTTTGTTCCCGTAGGGTCGTCTCCGACCGGTGTTCTGGGGGCAATCCTGGCTGGATCCTCTCGAGTGTTTCGAAGAGTATCTCGAGGCATTCCGAGCGCGACTTCTCCGGGTTCTGAGCAATGATCCTCGGAAAGGTAGTCTCTCTCCATTCAGTGATAGATCTTTGACGGTTTTCTTCTGTGTCAAAGTGCGCCCTCATCATTTCTACCATTGTTGGAAAATCTCTCGCCTTTCCCTTGATCCTTGTGAAGTAATATTTCTCCGCCTTTCCTTTCAGCAGAAGCGAGAATGCAATGTGAAATTGATGCTCCTGTAGGCCGATCTTTTCACAGACGTCGTAAAACTTGACTAACTTTGTGTTGAAGTCATCATACAGTCCTCCGCCATACTTGTCGTCCGCGTTGCTGTACTGCCTCGTTACTGCTTCAATCATTCTCGGTAACGACATGTCCGAGGAATTTTGTTGGAATCTACCGTAATCGGATTGTTGCTGTATGCGATTATCTATATAGGCTGTATCGAGCGTGACGGATCTGGCTTCTTCCCATCTCTGGTCGCTTCGTTCGATATGTGGTTTCTCAACATTCGTTCGTGGAGTTTGAGGATTTAGTGGGTTCACCGAAGTCGCTCGCGCTGCTAGGTCATTTGGACGGATGGCCGGTGATTGGCCGCGTGCAGGGTTCCATCTGGAGTTGAAGTTGTCTGGGTGCTCCTTCAGATGGGCCTCGATGTCTTCTTTGGTCCATTCGTGTTGAATGTCCTCCTGGAGACAGTCATACAATCCCTTCGCGTATGATACACCGATGGCTATCTTGATCCATACTCCGTGTGTAGTCAGGTGGATTCGAATCATCTTCAATGCGGTTTTGCTTGCCACCTTGAATGTGTCCAGAGTCCATCCATCGAATTCTTCGCGAAAATCGTTCCATAGGGCACGGTCGGTAATGCCCATCATTTTCCATGCCCGCAATACACAAGTTATATGGCCGTTTAGTATTCCTTCCGTCTGGTTCTTCTCATCGAGTGTATCGACGGATTTCCCCCATGTCTTCTCCTCGATAGGGTACGCGAGGTTGTCCGGGATCGGCAGCATGATGGTCGTTTCGGTGAAGACGTGGATAGAGTAGATCGAGGGGATGAGTGTGTTGGGTTGCGTGTCGTGACGGTACTGCAAGCCGTTTCCCGTTAACGCGTTGTTCGCGTGGTAGACGCAGATCTTCGTTGCGGTTTCAACTGTAGATCTTTTGGAAATCCTCCGTGTCTCAAAGGTACTGCATCCGTTTCCCAGTGAGATACTTTGATATCCTTTAGCACACCTTCCGCAATGAGGGTACTGCAACCGTTTCCCCGTTCCCTTGCGGTCAATGCCTCTTCCAGGTCGTGTAAACCGAGCTGTTCTGTGGTTGTAATCAACCACTGATCAGTGTTGGTATCACCAGCTAGGTACTGTGTACACAGTTAAGTGGACAGTTTATGCTAAAGCAAAAGTTGATTGATTCGTGTATGATAGATGTGTATCCCAGGTCAAGGTCCAATACCCCTGAATCCATATGGCGGGAGCCGCAGCTTAGCAGGATTACGTACAACATGTCTTTGCTTATTCCAACGGGAGGATATATCCCGACAGTTTGAATATAATATTCCAGCTTTATTTTACCTAATTAGAATTGATACATTCGCACCGATATGCGGATAGATGAACTTGGACCAAGCAATATAGTAGACGTAAATAAGAGCAATCAACCGAAGTAGACCATTAGGGACGGACAGATGCGAAAGTCGTTCCCATGTGCTCAAAAAGTGCTAAATAATGGGCAACTTACTTCCAAGATTTCTGTAATTGGTTAAAGTCGTAAATTTGGCATGATTAATCACTTATCGACTCTAAGACGCATTTCTCGTGTCTGTTCAATGAATTAATAATCATAGACTCCATCTAAACTAACTAACCCAACTAACCTTGGAACAGTGACTCAGCTAGGAGACGGGCTGACTAGTGACAGATCCTATTGACAGAAGAACCAATGAATACAAACACGGGCGGAGATTAGAAGGCCGATTAGAAAGAATCGGTAAACTCGGCATCTTATTATGCGACACCCAAATGGGCGGTTTTGGAAGGTTTCGGCGAAATATATCCACATAGAAAACGCCCAAACTGTAAAGAAATTTGGTCTTCGTTCTTGGGTCTGAGAAATCAACCCAATTGAGCCCATGAAATATGAATATTGATTCCCAATCAGACTAGAAAACATTGAAATTGAGTACTGATCAATTGAGCCTGTCGATGGACAAGTATCGTCAAGTACTGAAACCCCGCTGGTTCAATAACCACTCTCACTTGACAGATAGGAAGTCATGGCCGATTGTCTCGTACTTACAGTTGAATATGGAAAACTAGCCCTTAATCAACGATTGGTCGGCTCTTTACGATATCCCTTCTAACTAGGTTCTTCTTGCACTGAACAGATAACTAGTCCAGGGTCGAAGGCGTAGGACTCTTGTCCGTTCGACTATGCTGCGAATAAATTGCATGAGTATCAAATCCATCCTAAATAAGGCTCGTAAGTGCACATACGCAAGAATACGAGCCATACTGGCATTATAATAATGATTTACTAGCAATCCACGAAAACGATAACAGGCACTCTCCCGAGTTGGAATCGCCTTTACGGCAGTATGGTTCCTTTACGGCAGCAGGCGCCGGTCGATATTCCTCCAGGTGTCTTAGTCAACAAGAAGTTGATGTACAGGATAATCTTGAGAATAAAGAGGAACGAAAGGATGTGGCTGCTGTACGGTTATTTTGTGCTCCGCCGGCACAACTTCTATACCGTGTCACTAGAGAGGGCGTTGCAGACTTTCGGCCAGCCCCGGTAGGTAAAGCAGAACCTTGGGCAAGTCTTTCTAGCGTTTCTTCGGCACCCCTCTTACAATGGACCATCCACTGCGGCGACATCGTGATCGTGGACATTGGACTAAGAGGTGAAGACTTTGCTAAGGTATCTGATCTTCGACGCTTACCGGATGGACGGTACGTTGTTGTCTACAATTGGTTGTACCAAAGAAGCGAAATTGTGCGGGAACTTGAAATAAATGGGCAGCTATCAACACATGCAAGAGTCCATCTCGATAAGATGTGGCCAGTACATACTGAGTACAAGTTTATTCTGAGCACCAATCGGACTATTGCAATTTGGGACACTGCGATTGGAAGAGCGGCAAAGGAAACCACCGCGAGCATCTGCCAATACGCGATATATAGTACCACACCAAAATCTCGAGGAATAGTCAGTGTTGACCAACCTCGTTTCAAGTGGATGAGAGAAATTCTCTCAATGAAACCCGAGCATCCGCCACTTCCATGAGAGAAGCGAACTAGCCCACCTGTTCAATGGCATGTGGAACTTGATTACTATATCACGAGCGGAGGATGCGTACTGGTCGTTGAGAGAACCAATCAAATAATTCAGAGCAACCTGGATAATGTCGATTCAAGTAATACTGTATTTAATAGCGGTGACTAGAGTTGGCATTTTTATTGTACAGTAAATTGATACGTACACCGATGATAATGAGGCATGGCAAGAGACCCGGTCAGGGTCACTCACGATACATCAATTACCCCACCGGGCTGGTGCAAGCCAATCTAATCCTGCGGCTTTTTGGACCGCTCATTTACTTGCTACAAGAGCTGAATGAGCAAGACAAATAAGGCTTACTTAAGTCTAGGTGGCTGCTTCCCTGTATTCCCCACTTTCGCGACAGAGCCTCCAGGGCAGGCCCCCGAATGGATCAAAATCCTTCGCTCGCTCTCAGTATTTCCTCCAAATGAACCTGCACCGAGCGAAGTGACTCCATTCAAAATGGAATTCCCAGCGCAATATTCTAGCTCTGGCTATCTCCCATTACACATGGAGGACACGGTCGAGCCCTGTACACAAGAGAGAGGGACCTTCTACCAGACATGCATGCTACCATGGAACTCTCATCATGCGGACGGCTCGTTTGAACATGCCTTGGATTCTCTTTTGCCTCCTCCAACTTTCTGTCAAGCGAATCAATTGTCAGACATGCGCACGGAGGAATTATACCAATGGATGAGCTCATCAAACAACTTCGTGACGCTACAGACCGTTGTCCCAGAGCAGATCTTCCACCAAAGCCCCTTGGTGTTGCATTCTTCTGTTGGGATTCCACAAAAGTTTCATGATGTTAATATACAAACTTCTTCAACGTCGAATGCTTATTTCGACACCCTCCCTCTTCCATTCGCCGAAGGGCCCCCGGGCGAGTCACCTAGAAGACCGCAGCAATACGCAAAAGGAAGCGAAAGTATGCCAGCGTATGCTGAGGAATCATCCCAGCAACCGCAAAGTAAGACGTCCAAACGACCAGGGGAGCAAAATCACGCATACAAATCAATCCAGCACGAGCAATCTCCAACCACCGGAAATTGTTATTTCAAGTGCAGGGAGCCGGGGTGCAAAGGGCGTTTTAAGCGTCAAGACCACTTGAAGCGCCACATGAAAACCCACTCGAACGATAATCTTTTTGTTTGCTGGGTCCCTGGGTGCCAACGCGGTTTCTCGCGCAACGATAACCTCACCGCTCACTACAAAAAGACGCACGCTAGGAAAGGTGGTCGCAATCGCTATGTTCCCAGTCTCGATGAGAGCAGCTCGCTTTACGATCCGGAATTCCGTGGCCAGCTGGCGCCGGACGGAAGTCCGCTCTATACTTTACAGGCCAGAATTCCAGTTTGGAATCAGAAAGGGGGATTCAAGGCAGCTGAAGAAAGATTGGTCCGAATATCCCTTTCAACGCAGTAACTATTGTAGCGGGGTGCGCCCATACATAACGTGCCTCGGTGCCTAAGGCTTCAGTCAGGCCCACCCGTTATAAAAGCGCTGACGCCAGATATAGAGAATATACACTCTTTTGCTCCTTTTCAAGTTTTGGTTTTGGGGTCATTCCCCTTCCTCTCAGACTACGTTGGTGCGTGTGGTCTTAGATATATCTTTCAAATTGCGGATTTTGCTGGCTCGACCCGTCTGCCATGGACTAGCCTTCGAGCGCCCACCCTTGACACTATGTATATCTAGTCCAAATTCATCATAAACATTGGTAAACGAAAGTTATTCCGAAGAGAGACAGAGAGACAGAGAGACCGACACAGAGAGATGCAGAAAATTTGACTCGTGTTTTTCAAAAGCAACCAGCCTTTCCATGACAAGCTTTTTTCAAATCAGAGCGGCGGTTTAGACGACGGGGAATTTCGTTGCCTCGATCCTTTTGGGTATTCCTCTCGGAACGCTTCAACTGCTAACTGAAGATGGTTTCTGGTAGCCTCTGTGAGCTGTAGGCTATTCAATGCATCGAGTTTTCCAGGAGCCCAAATGTAGGATTGATGTTCGACTGGGTCCAATCGAATGTGAAAGCCTCTGCTGCCGAGAGACTCGGAGTTCCGCGCAACCTCAATTAGGAAGTGAAGTTGGGCAATCCACCGCTTAGAGCGAGGAGTAAGAAAGGCATCAACCCCTACCAAGGCATGTATAAAGAGGATATCTTGACCGGTCTCTTCGAAGACTTCACGAATTAAAGCTTCCGGGATGCTTTCCCGGGGATCACATTTCCCTCCAAACGCCTCGTGAAGACCTGGCGACGAGTCCTCCTCCGCGCGTTGTCCTAGAAGTACGTTTACTTCATCCTCCTCCCAGTCGCAAATCCACCCTCTAACGCTGATACCGGTGACTTTCTCGAGGTCGTTCAAACCTCCTGGCGTCTCTTTCCAGTCTTCCAGGTATGACTCCCATGGTTGGTTGAGTTTCTCAAGACTTTTTGCGACCTGACAAGTAGTTCCACGTAGGGTGACGATAGGAAAATAACCTTGGGCCATATCTGGAAAGATAATCCATACTTAGCATCAGAATTTCCACCTATTTTTATGGCAACGAGAGAAAACCAACCTCGAGGGCACAGAAAGCTACCGAGTGATCTGCGGGAGAATATAGAAAGATTGATATACCAAAAACGAGGCAAGGACCCTTCATTATATAGCATACGGAATTACTAATATTAAAAGTTCTGTTCGGGTGAGAGAATGGGAACTGGATCAGCCAATGGTCGTTTCAGGTTCATTTTCCCCTTTAAGAGTACGATAATTCCGGGATCATGGTCTTCAAATGTGATGGGTACGTAGCCCCTGCAGCTAGCAGATGATGGCTTCTTACTAGTCGACGCAGATCGGCTGACATGTCGCTAGCTAGACGGTGTGACTAATTCTGGAAAAATGACACCTTTCGGTACAGAAACTGATTGAAGAGCTACAGATGGATTTTAGTTCCATATGTCTCACATTCATAATAAACAGTCCCTTCCCTTCAGGGGACATGACGAACGTATGATAGATAGATTACAAATAAAGTAGTAGACCCTTACATACATTTGATATGAGTCGGATACTGTATTTAGACTCTCATATGTCCAAAATGTAGGCGGATATAAAGATTAGGGTGAGCATCAAACTTCAAAAGAGATTCTTGTCGCATCTGGGTGTAGGGATGTGTTCTAGGTAATGCGTTAGTGGTAATACACGATGCCCTGGGACAATTAGGGCGTATACTGGTGGCTCTCATCTCCCGGTAAGCGGACGCTGATTGCACAGCTAGAAAAGCGTTCTTTTTTTGCAGTCTTCTCTATAGGCTGCGGGCCTTATGACAAACGTGATGAGGGTCCCGAGGTGTTTACAAAATACAAAATTTGGACTTCCGATTTCTAAAATAGGTGGTGTTGACGTACGAAGTTGAAAGGTAGTCATTTCGACACTTCGGCATAAAAACAGCTCCAGCAAATCCACTGCATATGTTCGCCCGATCAGAAATGGATTCCAGTGCAGGTGGATATAGGTGTGGGAATTCTGTCAATGTGATTGATGCCGGTGGCCATCATCTTCTCAGTCAATTTCCCGTACACGCGTTGAGTAGCCAGAAACACCAACGTCTAGTGGTTGAAGAAGATGAGACGTGCGGGGAGGTATGTAAACGCAGATCATTGCATTCTCTTGCAAAAATCATCAAATTCTGCAGCCAGATGGCTAGAACAGCCATCAAGAATAAGCAACCGTTTCGCCCAAGTTATGTGGCGTTTAGAATATGGTTCGAACATTTCCTTTAGTCAGCGAAGGCCAATTTCATCCGTTGTCCAGCCATTCTGCCTTCTGAGAAGAGCATATTCCTTATTAATAGTGTCATTCAGGAGAATCGTAAATAGGTCACAGCCATTGAGTTCTTGAGCTCTGAAGGGATTCTATACTGCCATGTATTATTTTGGAAGGTGAATCTCATCAAGCTACTTTGTTTTATAGTATGAGCATTCTCCTGCGAGGCTTCTCATTGCGCTTGAGCAGAGCCCAATTGCAAAGCGAGTTCCATCAAAGTTCCAGATGCCACCATCCTGGATATTATGCTCCCGGATAGCCCCTCGTACATTTGCAAACGACTGTCCGATGGTATTTTGGGCCTCCTGCGTCGTGCGCTGGTACTCGATCCGCCGCTTATATCGTGTACGTAGCGCTGGATGGCGTTTAATAAACTGATAGGCCTTGTTAATGCCAAGGGTTGCAGTAGGATCTTGTGTCCGTTCCCGGAAAATCTGCTGCGCCGTTCCGCGTAGAAAATTAGGCCAAATTGAAATTTCTCGTTCGTCAACCCCTAGTTGTTTCTATCTCTTTCCCAAATTGATTTATGACCGTCGTCGCGTATTTCTGCACGTGATTTGCTTCCGTTGAGTCGCAAGTGTAAATTCCGGCACATGAAACGTCTCAGCGGCCTTCAATCTCGACTTTGATTTTTCTTAGTTGTTATTGCAGAATAGCCATCTGAATGCCAATTCCTTGAGATAGAGGCATTTTGGACATTGGAGAAAAATAACACGTGAAGGAGATGATTAAGTTCAGATAGACGCAAAATTTGCCGCTTGGTGTTCAGTTCGTCGCTCGGTTGATTCGGTGAACTGACTAATCAGTTTAGGTCATCCCAACTTACCTCAGCCCGATGGTGGGGTTGGGCAAGATTTTCCCACCGCGGATAACCCCTCCTTTCGTCCGACATTAACTCGTCCTCACGATGTGTTCACCTCCTCTTTGAAAACTCGTCTACGGTATTTCCAAGTATCGATCCTCGAGAGAACTCCGAGTCCTGACTCCGAACTGACACTCGAAGAAGAATACTTGAACAATATAGCGGAATCACTAGTTCCGAATACACCCAGAAGGCGTCATCACCTCAACAGACATGACAGAGAGCTCCGGGGACGTGGTAAAGAATGCATTAGTATGTGATTCCTACTTTTTGGTTTCAAAATGGCGGCCTAACCCCGTATAGATCAAAGGTTGGAAGCGGATCAACGACGATCACCTACCCAGCGAACTGATGGGATATAATCATCATCTGCGGGATATCTACTCAGACGCAAATATCGAAAGGAGGGTAGTCTGTTTCAAATGTGAAAAAATCACCTTCTACGATACACATGGTGGTGAGATTTGGTTCACGGAGGGAAGCGGCGAGGGTATTCTACCTCCCAGTACCCAAGTCGTCGTGAAGAATGGAACTTCCAGAGTCATGTGATGAATGGTACGATATCATATTATGTATATAAGTTGTTGAGGAAAGACATGCTCATAGAGTAGCCAACGCGCAGATCAATGAATCCGAATCGAGGCTGACTTCGCCAAACATTTAGTGTGACACAATCTGTAGTTTCCAAAAGCAACTGGTCCAATTCCCATAGTCTTAGCTCACTACATTCAATGGCATCGCAGACGTAGGGTGTGAAAATTGATGCAATAGCGGCGACAGAGGCACCTCGCAACGTAAAATATGCGTTGTCCTCTATTAATCCCGAGAATTCAGCGATGAAGTTGGCAAGCGGTTGGAATTATCTCACCATTTTGAGTTGGAACAAGTGGTACTGGCTGGCTAAGCTCATTCCCAGCACGCTCTAGATTAGATCCCAACATCGGACTGGACGTTTCCGAACCAAATAAAGACGGAAATTTTTGGCTGCGGTGTGGGAACAGAATCCTGGCAAGGTCATCCGTGAAACCTATATTCAAGCGAAATATAGCATCGTGCATGGACTGGTTGGGCGACATCAACCAGACGCTTTCAGTTGATTCAGGCGTGTGAGCATTCGCTCTTTCGTTTAGTTGGATCAAAGATGTAGACACAGCCTTTTGAATGTGAACACCAAATACATTCTGAATAGAAGCGACGCGTGCGAGGCGGTATATGCAGCTTGAGTTGCTTTCGGCATCAGTGGATGGTCGAGGGCGCGATTCTGTTGGATTGTTAATTGAGGGAAAAAGGCCTGAAGCGAAGGCTACATACCTGACGGAAAAAGCTCTCCTATAAAGTCACGATAGTCTTTACTATTCTGAATCCCAACCTTCTTGGCCCGACTCTCAAGAAGATCTTTACATTCATCGCTATACGCGATCCTGTATCGATCCACGTGATCTCGATCGAACTCTGGAACATCCAATGATTCACAGGTTTTTGGGGATGTTGAAAGTACGAAGGGTAGGTAGATATGAACATCTATTCTTAGGATTTTTCGATACACATACTGCGCATTCTTGTCTCTCCAACGGGGTTTAGGTGGTTGGAGGTCCGAAGAGGCGGCGCCAGATGTGACGGAAGCGGACAACGGCTGGCCGAATGTCAAAGTCAAACTTGTGTCAAGCCGGGTGACAAATTCTCCAGGAATAGTACGGTCCGACACCAGCTTTCTTCTCATCTTGTTAACACGCTTGATTGCTGCGGCATGCCGGTCCGACTTCGACTTTTCGCTCATTCTGTCAATACAAATGATCGCTGTGGGTCGCGATATTGCCAATATGTTTGTGTAGCCTTCTAAGAGGGAAAAAAAAGAAAAGTTGTGCTTCGAGGGGAGTCGAGGGGAGTCGAGGGGAGCCGAGGGGAGAAAGGGGGAGCAGAGGGGAGTCAAGGGGAGTCGAGGGGAGTCGAGGGGAGTCGAGGGGAGTCGAGGGGAGTCGAGGGGAGTCGAGGGGAGTCGAGGGGAGTCGAGGGGAGTCGAGGGTTTTATCTGAGTTGAGCCCATATTTCGGGTGGGGCATAATAGGGAGGCCCACCCCGTTTGTTGGTTACCAATCAGGAACGCGACTTTACGTTCCATAGTTAAAGTCGCCATACTTCGCTAAGCATGTAGACCTGGATCCCAAAATCCTACTTTTGCCGTGGGCGGTAACAAAGCTGGCCCAATAGCTCGTATCTAAATGTATAAACTCCGCGGAATCCTGTGACCCCCATTATTTACCACTCCAATCTCCGCCCTTCGAGAATAGCCTATTACTCACACTCTCGTTGAGTCTCAGTATGGAACCATGCGTGCCTAGTATGCACTATCATGGGGAGGTCTGGAGGCCTTGATGACGGGAGCCTTGAAATGATGGCAGAGAGCGGGTGGCAGTCACAGTAGTAAGTAGTAAGCAGCGCGTAAAGTAGATATGGTATAGGCATCACCACATTGGCTGGACCTGTCCGAAAAATGTCTATGTCGACCGGGCATTCCTTACCTTGCCCCTCGCGCTTGCGTACCGTATTTGAGAATAAGAGGAAGTATCAGGATCCTACCTGCCGCCTAGAATGAGGTTGAGCCACAATTATGCAACACTATGTATTTTAGGCATCTACAGTGTATTTCAGCGCGCCCATCGGAATAATCGCTCTCTTCAGTTGACCAACTTTTGATCTAAGACCAGTTGATAATCACCAGCTAAAAACTGGGGCTTCTGGGGTTCCTCTAGAATGTAATACCTTTGGTAAAGGTGTTATTTTATTGGTGAGCTCTCGCAGTCAAGAGGGGAACAGGAACGTGTATAGTTTGGCTGTACTGTAACGGGTCACCTGTCGCTGCGGTCTTATGCATAAACGCATTAGAATGTAGCGTCAGAGAGGGCCCGTCCGCGCTCCCTTGTAGGGAGGCAATGTGTCTGTATATTGTAATGGTGGTTTCTATATACAGAAGGGAGGTGGGAGGGACAGAGTCAAGTCTTGACTGCGCCAGAGATGACGAGGGACCACCAGAGGCAAGCAACTTACTCTTGCGAGGGAGTTGTAGGAGGAAGAAGCCCTCCGTAATGTCGGTGTAGATGTCACGTGAGACAGCATGAGCAGCTTTGAGGCAACCCCAATAAAACTACTCCCTTTAACTGTCAAATAAAATGCTTCGCTAATACACTCACCGCTTCCGCTAAGAAAAACGAGGATATTTTCGGCGTTCTTCGCTCCTCTTTTCAAACCAAACGAGACATATCCGATCCAACCGCTGATTACCCAGAAATTTTGAAAAATGGCCTCACCTCAAAAATCATCCTCAGATATATTCATGAGCATCAAACCTGAGCATATGAGCAACATAGCCTCAGGTGCCAAAAATCATGAATACCGAAGCTATCTTCTGCCGTCGAAGGTCAGCCGCATCTGGTTCTACACCACCACGCCCGTGAAACGGCTCGAATATGTCGCACTCATATCCAAAGGGAAAACCCCAGAGGAGGTACCCAATGATGGAGGAATCGGCAATGCAGATTTCAGAGCAGGGAGGAAGAAATCAAAATACGGGTACGAGATTTTAAAGCTGTGGATGTTGAAAGATCCCATTAGCTTGGAGCAGGCTATCGCAATAAAGATCTTGAAAGGGGCTCCACAGAAGTATTGCTGGGTACCTATCAATTTTGTGAGGAGCCGTCCACTGGACAAACAACATCAGTTACTTTCGAAAACATTGGAGGATAGTGCACTGGAGCGGATGGAAGAGAACACCCCAACGAACGGGTCATGTAATTGATTTCTTTTTGAGAAGCCCAGAAAGGGATTAATGTCTTGTTATTGGAAGCTAAGACTGGATCAGTTATAGGGGTCCATCCCTCGTGAAACTAGCTGCTTATCAAGATACGCAATTGTGTAGCTCCGAAAAAGCATGAAGGGTTTCTCTATCCATTCCTGTACTTCCAAATAAAGAGCTTCCAGTCCGTGTTCGCGCTTCAGTAACAGGTCCACGTTAAGTAAGTACTGTCGTTCAGCTGCACGTAAGTATCTGTAAGCATCTTGCTTAACATACAAGCTCTTCGATAGCTTGGCTCCGGACCAATCGAGGATTTGAGGAGCATAAAAGATAACCGGTGCTTGCTGAGGGCATGGAAGAAGGCGCCATGTGAATTGCTCTTGATAAAAGCCAGCGTAGTCGGATCCAGTGCACATAATCCATGACCTGCTCATGTCACTGCCGGTTATCATTGTTCGTATAAGATTCCGAAGTGGCGTGTTGAACTCCAGGCGTGCCAGGCCAGTAGGCGAATCCAAATCGACGTAGTGCTCTCCGTGGTCTGGACACAGGAATGTAATGCGTCCATCAATGTGGTATTTGTTGTTCAGGCCATGCTTGTCTGCGATACCACAACCTTGATGGGGACACGGCGTCCTTATCGCTAGCTTGCCTGTGTCCGGTGACAAATGGGGCCCCAGGGTTTGATGCTGGGATATGAGATCCCGAAGTACTCTAGGGAATTTGGGATGTTCTCGCCAAAGATCCTGGGTATGTTTGTCGTAGGGAACACCTGAAAGACGGGATAACTGATCGAGCACGTTTCCAAACGCCTTTTGATGGATGCGGAAATCCCCCGTGTGTGAGAGGCTTTTTTGGTATTTGACACCACTGACAACGAATTCTTGACCTGGAGCGGGGGCACTGTCGACATAGACGAACTTCACTCGGACAGTGCGAGAACAGACATTTTTCAGGGCAGCAGCGAGACCAAATCCAACGGCGAAGGTGGTAACATTTCCGATATGGGGACTGCAATTTGGTTGTGAACCTAGGTGAATTGCGATGTCCTGCCGTGGGCATTGGCCACTGAGGTATCTGATGAGACTCTCTTTGAAATAATAAGAACCTGCACCTAGAGGGTGGTGAACGATATTGTCATGAAAGTCCATAGTTTTCAGACTAAAAGAGATGAATAGAAAGTTGAACGGCTTTACGACGAAGCACGATGCCTGAACCCTCAATCTCACGATACAGGCAAAGCAGAATGTTGCAATAATGCGCATATGTTGAACGCGACTTTATATAATTTTAAACGAGTTCACGGCACATTTTGGGTGACAATACGGCATGACTGGGGGGTCTAAGGCCTCTTTAGAAGATGGTATTCACTGCTTTGTTTGTGCGCATGACCAACATGCCTTGGAGACTTAACAGTATTAGCCAAATGGTTGGTCACTGGTGGAATTGATACAATGGCCTTCTGCATGTTGGTTGGCACTCCTGCGCATTGGAAGTACTCGCTCGGAAGAAGAGATTCGACAGTATACGCAGACATAGTCAACCAGCGGCTTACTTGCATACTGTAGGACCGAGAGCAAACAAACTTGGAGAACAAAAAACTACCACCCGCATATGAAGGGGGCAATAGACTGAAAAGCAATGTGCTTCATATCCAAAAGGGGGAGTAGAAGGGAGCCGAGGGGGAGTAAAGGGGAGTAAAGGGGAGTAAAGGGGAGTAAAGGGGAGTACAGGGGAGTACAGGGGAGTTGAGGGGAGTTGAGGGGAGTGAAATCACATGTTTTCGCATAGAATACGTGGTACGTGGTACGTGGTACAGAGGATCTCGAAAACGGTGCCAGGCGGCCCATTCAAAACGCGAAAAGCTAGCTTTGAATGCACAAAGTACTCTTAATGAGGCATAACGCCGAATATCGGCAAAGAGAGGGTTCGTGATCTGCTGATCTGTACTAGACGCCCCTGTGGTCTTGGAAATTCTTGTTGTCCATAGATTGATGCATGGGCTTGTATAACCTTTACTATTGATTTTTTCTGGACAAATCTGGTGCATGATATAGGCAGAAATTCGGGACGGGCGCATCACGACAAGCATATAAAATACACCAAATACTACGCAAATCAACCGTTTATGCCCGGAGAGCGAACCGTGAACACATGTATGGAATATAGGAACATATTTATAGCGTCATGTTGTCTGATGAAACGCTTCATTTACTTAGTATTAATCCTCGCCGGCTACTCAGCCAATTTGGGCTTCCGAGGTAGTTCTGTCGTCAGGCTGAGCGTCGTGGTCGAGCGCGAGCGGGGGATGGATGGCCCGTTGGAGATCGGTAATGATGCGCTCTAGCTGCCTGAGGCGGCGATCTTTCTCTTTTGCCTCGCGACGCAGCCGCTCGACTTCGTTGTAAAGATCACCGCTATTCTTATGGGAAACGGGGAGGCCGCCATCGGACGAATCACGTCTGCGCTTGAGACCAGTGGCCGGGACATAATTAGCGCGAACGCCCTCTACATCCTTGGCGCGCTCCCATGGCATGTCCACAAGAATTGGGGCTGTTGCACCCTCCTCCCTGTGCATGTGGCGACGACGCAAGTGCTCTCGAAGATTTTCCTGGCGCGTAAATCCCTTGCCGGTGCTGCGGTTGCAATCGACATAGGGACACATCATGGGCTTCTTGGTCTCGTTGTTCTTCTTGTGGACTTCGCGCTGGTGGCGCAAGAGGCCGCCAGAGTAGGTAAAGCCTTGAATCTTTTCGCAATCTGGTTCGTAGCACTTGTAAGGCCGATCGTGTTTATCCATGTGTTTGCTGGTACAAAATGAGTTAGTATGGAGAGGAGACTTTGACAGTCGTGTAGAAAGGGAATTGAATCTACTTACTTCCATTCACAACGGCGGCGGAAAGTAGGCGGCGAAGCCTGACAATCAGTGTGGTCGCAGAAGATTTGGCCTTCTTTGTTCTTGGGAGGGTCACGGGTGCGCCGGACAGAGAGGTGTGGATTCGCTCTTTGCATGTCACTACAATCAAAGGCAGCAACTTGTTCGTTCATTCTGGCAATTGAGAAGAGGGATTTCGTTGTTGAGGAGAGTGAAGGGGCATCAGGACCACATGCGGAGCTTCACTTCGCGAACCACAACGGGAAGGTGTGAAACAAAGTAGAAAAATTCCCGAATATAAGGAAAAGAGAGGATTCAAATAAATTGACTGAAGTCGAGCGAATAGAAAGCTGGTGATGAGGAGTTGGGGTTGATACAGTATACTCTAGGCCTTCTGCACTTTCATTGCCTAAGGTCACAATGCCTCCACAAGTGGTCTCGACTGCAACGCGAACTTACCTTTCTGATTGGCTCCCGTACAATCTACTGGAAGCGGATTTGGGGCTCAACTGCCCGTCTCAAGGCCAGCGCCTTGGCGACTTACCGATTTTCGTAGCTTTTTCAGCTGCATTGTGTATGAAGCTGGACAAATCATGAAAAGTAAGAGAAGGCACCTCGGTGATTTACCAGTTATTTCCCTACCCAGTACCCGAGGCTTAGCTTGGAAGCCAAAGCCTTCATACTATTAATTTCGGGACTCGCTACTGCGACTGGGATACCATGCCGATTATCACAGATGAAAATACCGTGAACCGCGGTATTCCACTGCGAATATGAAGATAACTGGCTCCTGGGAGTTAGGACCGTATTTTAAATGGTGCGCTCACTGGGTCGGATCATATATATCTGATCAGACTTGAGTTCTCTTCCCCTCGCGATTGGGATCTACGATTAGATATTGTGGATATCCTTGAAACCTTAGATGCCGAATCGCGAGGTGTTGACCATTCGCCCGTATAAGTTGCACTGGCCTGCATCTGGAGCGGCTACAGTATCCAAGCTTAGAAAGCGAAGCTAATATGCGCTCCAAACCATGGGTTTCTCAATATTCCGGACCAAAGCCCTCTTCCTGATTTTTAGCATAAGAGGATCATTACTACGGACTGATACAGTACAAGTATCGAGACTACGCCGGGTCAGACGCAGAGCTGAGACTACTGGGCCCTTTTGAGAGACTACGTGTAGATCGACTCTCATGCATGAGAAGCGGTACTTTCTGCCCGCAGAATCAGTAGTCCAGTGGACTAAACTTTGGGGCGCGTGGAAAGTGGTAGGCCAATAATAATAGGGGGGACGTTGAAGAGATTGGCGTAAGCCCCAGAAATGCCACGCTGTGTAAAGGAGTTCATGAAACTACGCGAGAAAGACCCCGAGCGCGCGTGCTTACTACCATCCAATCAAAAAATCTACAACTGCTAATAATTTAAATACGCTGCATTCAATGGCCCTCCGCGGAGCTAATTCGACCTGCTGTGGCGATTGCCTAACTATTGGCTCTTCCAAATGTAGGGCCGATGCAAGATCAGGGGCATTGGCCAAATAGAAGGGGTGTTGCTTTTCTATGTCCGTGCTCCAATGTAAAGAAATCAATTGTCGTCAGAAAAAGCCAACCAGACGGACAACCAGGCCTGATAAAAAAATAGACATAATGCAGTGCCCAGCATGGGCAACTGCATGTTACCCATTAATGTCATACTTTTGACCCCTGAACTCGAACTATGGCGATTGATTATTGACTAGAACTTATGCTAATATTCAAGCTGGTACAAACTTACTAATACGATACCGCGTGTTGGGGCTGCGTCACTTCGGTGGCGGTGGTGGTGCTCCTGGCTTTTTAACACCAGTGGCATCATACGCGCCTCGACCCATACTCGGAGTGCGCGTAGGTAAGATTATATCAATCCAAAAATTTTGAGGATCGAAGGACAACCGGAATGTCTTTCTAGAGGGTAGAGCTATTTGGAGAGCAGTAGAGGTGACAGAGAACTATTTAAGATATTGGTATTTTTGACTGACCTGGCCAGGGCATTTTACCACATACTATAATCTAGACCTGATACGGCAAGTGCTATGAACGAGATGATACACCCCACCATGGGAACATATGGAAATTCTAGACCGGGATCTTACCTGTGCTTTGGGAACGAGATCGGCCTTGACCTGGCAGGGGCTGCGGATGCGAGGGGGTGGCGGGAATGAACTGATCGCAGTAAAATGCTCTCAACGTTGCTTCAATTTTGTTGGAAACGCTAATGCAAGATGATACATAGCGCTATTATAGTATTGGTTTTAACAAATTAGCCAAAATCGAACTAGAAATGAGGTCAGGGCACCAGGTCCACGCATGTTCTGTTCTGGCCTGTGCGGATACTCAGATTCCAGGAACAGTGCTTTCAATCCCCGCAGGTTGTGTGTCTCCGCGATAGCTCTGATTACTGAAGAAAATAGCAAATGATGCTTCTGGGACCTAACACAGATTTCTTTATCATGGTCTATCCAATATTCTGAGTGATGATGTGAAAACTGTCATATAAGGACATCGGTGACGACTCGGACATTTGCTGTGCCAGACCGTCCAAAATTTCACCCACCCTCACAATCCTGCCTCCAGAAAACCACCAACACTTTACTGTATGGAGACAGACTACGATAAAACGAATGCAGTTCTTCGTCGCATTCTAGAAAATGCTGGCAAGAAATTCGACTGCCCTCTGCAAGCAGAAAACATCAAGTCTGATGTTGAACATGTCATTACGCAGAATTTCCATGACTCGATGTCTGAATTTTCTCGTCTTCTGGCAATTGCCGAAGAATCAGGGATTGTATTTGTATGCCCGCATTGTGTTGATGCGGACTTTGAATATTTTGACAAGATGAATGAGTTTCAGTTCCATTGTTGGAAAAAAGAAGATGAAGACACATGGGCTTCATCTCCTTCAATCAATCGGTATTCAACGAAGCTTACTGTAAAGGTATGGGAGGCGAGTTTCAGACCACACAGCCTCGCATCAGTGAGAAATTGATCCAGATTGCCTACGTCCTTGAAAATAAGATTGTTCGTGTGTAAGCACTACCCCGCCGATATAATCTAGACTGACAATGGGAATAGTGCCGAGTACCCGCATAATCTCATTTAAAATGGCGTAAAGTACATTCGCTTGCCTCAAAAAGCTTTCATTCGTCCTAATTATAGTGCATGCCTGTATTAACTGTTCGAGATATGAACTACTCTGCTAGCTGGAAAGTTGTGAAGACAAAGGGGATATATGCGATGACCGGAATGGATATCAAGTAATTCTCTTACAGCTGGCGGAATAGCTTGATCGTTTTCAAGTACAGATCTGGACACTATGCGCGGTTGGGACGGATAATTAGGACTACCGAGTCCTTTTGGGAGACTTTGTGGAGGCCGACTCTCATGCATGAGAGCAGGTACTTTTTATCCGCAGCAGTAGTAGCCCGGTAGACTAAAATTCGGTGCACGTAAGTGGTAAGCCAATAATAGTAGGGGTGGCGTCGAGGAGACTGGCGGAGTAAGCTCCAGAAATGCTAGGCTGTGGCCAAAGTACGCGAGGAAGACCTCGCACGCTCGAGCTATGCTACTAAACAAACGACTATTTAAGTTTTGGTACTTCACATTTTTGATTGGCCCTGGTGCAATCCACCGGAAGCAGGTTTGGGTCCCATTTGTTCATCTCAAGACTAGCGCTTTGGCGACTAGCTTACCTGGTCGCTGTACCTCTAAATAAGACAATTTTACTTGGTCCCTCGGGCTGCAGGCGAAAGAACACTCGCTCTGTACAAAGAGTCGGATTTCAAGGTGCCTGAATCGTAGGTGAATTCTGTGTAGCTCTTGTTAAAAACATTTAAATACCAACAATTGTCGTCATAACTTATCCCGATAACCGCAGTAAGGTACGTCAAGTCTGCAGAGGCCATCTCCGGACGCGCTATCCCATGAAGTGCCTCATAGGGCTGCGCCAGTGGCCCTTTGAAAAAAATTGTTAGTGAGCATGGGGTTACGAAGAAGCGATTAACGAAGTAAGCCCAAAAAGGTTAGCGCGTGGAACGAGTCATGAAACTACGCGACGCAGACGACGAACGTCCGAGCTACTCTATTATCAAATAAAATTCCACAATAGTCTCGGAATCCCCGCGCACTGCATCTAGAGGACGTCCGCCGAACTAATGCAAGCCCGCTGGATGATGGCTTCCCATTGGTACCTCCGTATATGGGCCCGATGCAGGTTAAGGAGGTGTCTAGCATCGACATAATTGATTAATGTACCCTCCTGCACACGAGTATTGCCCTCTATAATCGGTTCTTGCCGCCAACTTATCCATATGACACTGCTTCTGGAAGGTGATGCGATGGATAATTGTCAGAACGAAAAGATGGTTGAATCCAGCCTGATTTTTGGACATCCCCAAACCTCTCCAGTCGGCAATGGGCCCGCGGCCCCTTCCAAGCTCGGCCAGCTGTCCAATGCCATAGATGTTATGGAGTACCGTCTTTCTTCTCTCATGGCCAAGTCTATCAATCGATATCCGAATACTTTGATGGAGCTTTATTCATGGATATTTGAAAGCCTGGATTCAATTGAAAGCAAAGAACTGTTGCAGCAATGGCTATTGGCCATAAAAGGAGAACAACCCCCTCTTTTTCATCAAGATATCAAGGATTGGCCTCCCATAAAAGGTGAACAAGTAATGATCAGAATCCCGTTACACTTCAACTGTGACTGAAGATTTTTAGACAACCAAGGCATTCTCTTCTACATTTTATGCGGAACTCATGGCCGAAATTTAGATCTCGGGAAATTATACGTTTTCATGAAAACATCCTCTATTCATCCTGCAACTAAAGTCAGACTCGAGATGACCATAACATTGCGCAAGAGGCAATTGCAAAGATCGAGAGAATCTCCCAGTGAGCCCCTGCCTAGCGTTTGAATTTCAAGGAAAGCAGTGAAGGAAGACTCTAACCTCACTTCTCTGTGTTCAAGATTTGAGTCAACTGAAAGTGTCTTCCGCTCCAGAAATTTCACATTTGGCCTCGCCCATCTTCAACGCCTCGGAGCCTGCAGCACGTTCTTGGGAGGATTCACGATGTCTTACTCTTGACAAAGGCGCACTTCTCAAACATCAGGACTGGGGAAGCCGAAATAATTGGACGCAATATTCTTGCCATGTTGATGAGGCCTTCCCTGGCTTCTGCCACCAGCTGAGACCTCCGAATCTTCAACAATCAGCCTCCGCGACTGTAAAGGCGGAAGCTTCCCCCTTCTCTGTGACGAAATTTAAATATCACAAAAGGCCTTTTGTTTGCGCAATATGTGATAAAGGTTTCAAGGAGCGACGCAAACTTGATGACCATATCCGGACTCATACGGGTGAAAAGCCTTTCCGCTGCTCTTA